TTAATAATCAATGTTCAAATCCAAAAAAAATTTAAAAAAATTGAAGTTTCGAGACCGGTTTCAAGAAAGACCGGAACTTCAAAGACCACGCCGAAAAAAGATCGACTCGATATTGTTCTGGACCGCTCCTAAAAAACCGAACTTTTTCGAAATCTACTCAAGACGTGTTCAGGACCACGGATATGCATCTTTAGAATGGGATAAAAATAAAATGAAAAATGACATTTGGAAGCTTAATTAGAGATGCTCCCAATTGGGTGGGGGGTTTAAACAATCCGTCATCAATTTTTTAAATAAAAAAATAAAAATTAAATGGTTAATGGTGAACTAGGCCTTGCTCACTTCATTTATTTTCTTTTTTCTTTTATATGTCATATTCTATTTTTTATTGATTTGTAACTTATATATTAAATATTATCTCAATAAAATTAGCAAAAAATACTAAAATTTTACAAAAAAAAATTCTTTTTAAATAGAGTATAATATCGATATATTTCCTATTTAATTTTAATTTTTTATTTATAATAAATAATTGGTTTGGGTTAGGTTGCTAATGAGATGAAAATTTTGTTGGATTGGGTTGCATCCAAGAAAGAAAAATTATTTTTTTAATAAAAAATTTGGGTCGGGTTGGATTGGTGATGCCGATAGTCTTATGAGGGACCTTTCATTCTAAAGTTTGATCGCTCGTGGGCCCAGTTACATTTTATCCTTCAAGTTCAATTAATTGTGAAATGGGCTTAGTGTGCTTGTCATCAAGGTCAAGCAGTGAAGTGGCGTTATTTTCGTCCAATAGTTTTACAAGGCCCATCAGTTGTAATTACCCACCTGCATTTCATTTATTAAGTAGTAATTGTGAGACTAATGTATTACATGAGTTGATTTTAAAATTAAAAAAAAAATTAACTATGAAAGTCTAAATAATTATGAACTTTGAATTTATAAGAAAAAAATGAATTATTAAAATTGAAATGTTTTTTATCTTTTAAATTTAAACAAATAATTTAAATAAATAAATAAAAGAAATTAATAAACTTTAATGTAAATTTTTTGAAACTAAGAGGTAAGTCCATTAATGAAATGATATTCATTTATTACTATATTTATTTTAATTATTACATTAAAATATTATATGCAATTTAATAAAATAGGAAAACCCCTAAAATGACATGTAGAAAAAAAAAATTAATTCAAAATTACCACAAATTGACATTTGTCAAATTGAAAGAGAGTATGTCATGTAGGGATGTGCGTTTGGACCGAATACCCGAACCGAAACCGATACTCGGACCGAACCGACCCGAATTAGGACCAAATAAGTTATTTGGGTCGGTTCTCGGGTATCTATTTTTGCCCAATTCGTGTTTCAGGTTATTCGGTCCGGGTTACCCGAATAAATGTTTAATCGAGCCAAAAAGACCGACCCGGAAAGTGAATAGTCACTTGAACCGAATAACCCAAATAAACCAAAATGACTCGAATAACTCAAATAAACTGAAATAACCCGAATAATCCAAATAAGGAAATTTTATATCTAGTTCAAGAAAAAAATATTAAATTAATATTTTTTTTTCTTGAGCTAAATATAGAATTTCCTTATTTGGGTTATTCAGGTCATTTCGGTTTATTTGGGTTATTCGGTTCAAAAATATAGTGTAAATGTTTATTTGGGTTATTTCGGTCCTATCGGGTTAATAACCGAACCGAAACCCGTATTACCCGAAACGAAGCGGTCAGTATTAGTATAATCAGTTCGGGTGTCAGTTCCCATTTTTCATCCAATTCGGGTTTCGGGTTATTCGGGTTCGGGTCGGTTCCGGTCCGAAACACATCCCTAATGTCATGTGGCAAAAAAATTCTTTATTTATTAGAAATGATTTCTTCATCATCAATACCTTCGTCTAAAAGTGTCCGAAATACTTTCCAAATCTGAATCCAATTTAGTTTCTTCATCCGAATTGCAAAATGATGGTGTTGTATGATCACATTATATTCTTTTACCCATACACATAATGTGAAATTCCTCCGGAAAATTTACTTATTTAGGAATCCAATTTATTATCAAATCTGGAACCAAACATAAAAATATAGTAGATTTAAATTCCAATTCTTTCTAATTCCCAAAAATTCCAGCAAACCAAACACCACCTTAATTTTTTTCAACACCAATTCCTCTCCCATCTGTTTTTCTCGTATTTTCTTAATGACATATATGATACAAGATTAAAATGTATATTTTCTTACATATATTACACAAGATTAAAATGTAGATTCCTCTCCATGTTTTCTCGTGTTTATCTCACAAAACTTAAATTTCCCTAAGGTGGGTAAAAATTTTCCTTTCGAACCAATTTTTTTTGTCTTTCCATATGATTTCATTCTCCACACCATGTTATTTTAGATATTTTATCTAAGAAATGGTCACCACACTATTGTACCAAAATAATTTTATTGTCTATCTTTTTATTTTTGAGTTTTAACTTTTTTATTTCATTTTTTACTGTTTTGATAATTTTGAAAATAAATTACATAATTTTATAAAAAATAATTTTATAAAACATGTCATGAAAAAAAAAATTAAATTACATAATTTTATAAAACATGTCATGAAAAAAAATTACATAACTTTTTCTCTCTTTTTGAGTTTTTTTTTCTAAATACACTGCTTATCGGCATCGTTAGCATCGTAGATATGACCCCCCCCCCCCCCCAACCCCCCGGTCGAAGTCGCTCATGTTTTTGTGTGTCTTGAACATCAACGATTTTATGCAAATTTTTTGAACCTGGTATCTTCAACTATCAAATTATGCATTACGATACATACGTACATGATATATCATAAATTTTATATCTTATATGGATGTGTCACATGTTCTACTATGTGTCACTTCGACTTTAGAACCCCCAAAAGCATGTTCCACATCCTTACTTGTTGCGTCCTGTTTTCCCTTGAAAAAGATTTCTCTTCGTTCCACTAGGTGTCGGAATGCCTTCTTGAATGTAGCATACGTAGAATATATTTCCCTCGTAAGGTCAAACCCAAACTTATATTTATTTCCAATCATTGTGAAAGGAGCATCTAATGTCTTTCCTGATAAAATATTGGCGACTGATCAAGAACATTGATGTCGTTATCGAAACCTGCAACCCCAAAAAAGCATGTCAAATCCACAAATCTTGGGAAACAACAATCTCTAATACTAACGAAGGTGTTCCATGATGATCACTTACAAACTCCCATCTCCACCCCTGAGGATAATTTTACAATCCCAATATGTACAATCAATGCTTTCTAGCATACCGAGAAAACCATGTCTCTCTTCATGTACCACATATAGTTGTTTCATATCATTCAACAAAGTTTCCGCAAATAAAACGTCACCGAATATTTCAACACCTTTTGACAATCTATAGAAACTTTTCTTCGATTTTTTCCAGATATTTTCATATAATCGTCAACGAAATCGATTGACTCCCTGTAAAAAGATACCTAAAGACGTATTTAATATGTAAACATATGTATTTATTTTGTATAAAAATATATTTAATATGTATAAATATGAAAGTGTATGCTTTCCAAGGTGTAGAAACACATCTACTCTAATAAATAGTTTTTTTGTCCCATGTTACACTCTCAATCATTTTATCATATATCATTTTGTGGTTATTTAAAAAAAATCATATGTTATTTTATGTTTTTTTTTTACATTTTTTAAATTTTACGTAGTATTTAAATGGAATAATAAATGTATATGAATTTGATTAATCTCACTTTTCTTCTAATTTTTAAATTCCTAAATTGAACCTTAATTTATTTCATTTGTTTATTTATTTAAATTATTTGTTTAAAGTTAAAAGAGAAAGTATTTCAATTTCAATAATAGTATAATATTTTTCTCACTTTTCTTACAAATTCAAACTCTAATTTAGAATTTCCTATTAATTTTTTTTTCTTAATAAACTCGTGTAGTACACGTGTCTCAAAAGTAGTTCTTACTCAAACGAAACCTTTGTTTAAAATCTTTTAACTTGTATACACAATTATCCAAAAAATAATCATGATATAAACATTTGTATGCTTCCTCGCAATTCCTGCTTAACCTCGCACTTCTTGTTTGTAGTAGGACTTCATTTTCTTCTTGTAGTTCGTTGGTATAATCCAGATACATCATGGTGATGAACATATCAACATCAACGGAGGGCGAGTTAAACAAATTTATAATTTTTTTTTTTTTGGAAATTTGAATAAAAAGATACAAAAAAAAAAAGTGAGAGTGGTGCGTAAAAAAATAAATCATAGCTTGTTTTATATTTTTAGAAAAATACAATTAAAACAAAAATGGTCGTTGGACTAGTCAATGGGCCATTTGGGCTTTGTTTTCTTCATGTTGAGCTACGTTACAGTCTCCACATGCTTGTACTTAACGTGTATACTTAACGTGTAGGCAAGAAGGGTGATTTTAGGTCCTCCATGTCGTTGAGGTTGACCAGGTCACCCTCCAAATAGTGTTCCCTGGCCCATATCCTATCCAACCTAAGCTTATGAGATTGAGTAAATTCCGCGAATGATTTCTATGGTTTGAGGTAATCTGCGTATTTGGTCTATAATTTTCTTTTATCTCGGATGGTCTCTAGAATGTATTTTTTTACGCGTTGGGTCCCTCACAGACATAAAAAGACCATTATACCCTTTCTTATTTTCTCTAAACTTTTCTTTTATTATTTTCTGATTTTTTAAATTAAATAAATACAAAACGGTCCACCCATTATGTGTGTCTCTCCTCGCCCATTCTTCTTCTTCCCATTCTCTCAAAATTTCCATCATCGTCGACAATTCTTTATCCAAGAAAACATTGCCGCCACCTCTCCTTCTCCGGCAGTTATTTGTATCCTGTATTCAACGAATCAACGTCGGGGACTCTATCGACATTGAGATGTAGAAACGAAGATCCACCAATTGTTTGGTCAGTTACTTGAAAACTCAAATGAAAATCCATCGGTTAGATCTGTTGACATCGAGATTCAGAATCAACGAATTGACGCCGACAAACACTACCACCCCCACGGTTGGTATACGTCCGACGACCACCAAACGCCATCATTTTATGAAAATCCACCATCGTTGGAAACCACTTGACGCCGCCTATATGCACCATTTGCACTATAGGCGCCATCGATTTGCACCATGTGGTTCGTTTTGGGGATTTGCCCTCACCGGTGAACCCACATATGCAACCATCCCATGTTCTTGTCTTTCCGTTGAATCTAAACCCTACAACTATGCAAGGTTTGGTCCACAATAGATCAAAACTAAAACACATGGATTTGTGCACAAGTTCGCGTCGATTGGATTTACAGGCTTTGAACAAAGAAGATGACAATGAAGGCATCTAGTAACATCGATGGTGATAGGGATAGATTTGCACACAAAAAATCGCTCTTTCTATATTTGTTTGTTCTAAAAATATTGTTCCCGGAAACAGTTTAGTTCTTAGTTTTTAATAATAAATTGATTTATAGAAAGGGATACAAGTAGGGGGACGGGGGAGGGGTAGGACATTCGGATCCAATATCTTTTTTTAATAATTAATAATAAATAATAATAAAAGAAAAATACCATCAAGGGCACAAAGGTCAATTCAAATCCGTTAGGGACAAAATACACAGATTACCTCAAACCATAAGAACCAGCCGTGTAATTTACTTATTTACTCATGTGCAAAAACTTTTTTAGAACATCACCCATAATATTCATTTTGTGATCACAAAAATTATGGATGATGCTTAGAAAGTTAGAGTTGATTCACTATCTTGCCAGCAAAATTGAATACAAGTTTACTTTGATAGGATCTTATGATCCTATCGAATCCTACATAACAATTTTAAGCAAATGATAGAACTCAATGTGTTAAAACCTCTAAAATCCAGACTTATGTGACGTTCTTGTTTCTATACAAACGATAAAAGTCAATGCGTGACTCAAAAAAGAACCCTTTAACGGGGTACCTAAATTACTTAGATATATATAGATAATCACTTACTAGAGTGATTGATTTATGTAATGATATAGATATATATAGTTAATCATTTGCTAGAGTGATTGATTTATAGATTCTACATGAACCAAACCTAAGCCATTGTGTCTAAATATAAAAAACCTCATAATATTATCTCTCTTCTTAAAATAACAAGATCATTGAACAACAAATAGGAATCTACATACGTCACCAATAGAACGTGTTAAAACAAAGCTTGAGGATAGCAATAAACAATTCCCTTTTGACAATCTTTGTATCATAGTATGTGTCAAATTGGCTTACGAATAGACAAATTATCTCGAAAGAAAAAAAATAAACACACATGAACACAACAAATGCACAAAATATGCAGTAATATGATTCTGCAAGTGTAATGTAAATGTTATTGCATTCCATATCACAATTTATGACCTCAAATATAACACCATTTAGCTACAAATCATTTAGCTCATCAATCAGTCTAGTATCTCAAAGATTAACATTAGAACAATCATACTGTAACTTCTCAAAGCACGATTTTGTTCACCAAAAATCAGTCATGCAAAGTTCCCAAAATATCCTCATCCCTGAATAAATGATACCTGCACACCAAACAATCCAAAAATCCACTCAATGAGATGTAAAAATATTCTTAACATGGCTAAAAAAGTTCATATGATTAGGAGGAAATTTTAGGTACAAAAAATGAAGAATGTAATGGCTTTGGAGGCAGGAATGAGAAGAAGGATTTGAACCCAACGTTGTAGAAGAAAAGCAAAACAAAAAAGTTCAAACTTTTCAACAACCCAGATTCAAAAAAGCTCAAAACCTGTACTATGATGCCATCATTTATGTTCATATCACAAAAATTAACAAAAATTATGTGAAATGAAGCAATAAAAATGATGTGAAGGGCAGTTGAATGAGAGGGCACCCTACAGAAAACCTGTAAGTATTTCAGAGCTATTAATGAAGAACTCTCCCCTGTTTAACATTCATGCCCAATTTACATATGCTACATATCACCAAAGATGATGTTTCTAATCTAATTATTCAGTATTTAACAATCATAACCTAATTCTATTGCAATAAACCGATTATGAACCAAAAAATCAGATCCGTTGTTGATATTGCCAAAAGCGAGAAGCAAAAGAGAAAGAAAACGTACTGTTTTTCGCCGAGCTTAACTTCCGTGCCTCCGTATTCAGGCAAGAGAACTGTATCACCTTCCTTTAGATCCACAGGAATCGTGTTACCTGATTTATCGCGAGTTCCAGGACCAACTGCAATAACTTTGCCGGAATTCAACTGCAAACGACATCACAAAACTAGTAAAATAACAAATCAAAGGCGGATCCAAGAAACAGGACGGAGGAGCGCGGAGGACGAATTACCTTGGAGGATTTCTCTGGGAGGAGAATGCCAGCGGTGGTTTTGGAGGGAGGAGCGATCTTCTCCACCAAAACTCTGTTGAGACACGGGATCAGACGCTTCGCCATAGCTAGTCTAGCACTGTATTTCTCTCTGGATCAACGTAGTGAATGTTGGACGGCGTTTTCTGGAGATTTAAACAGGAAATGAATGGAAGAATACGGTGGTGGAAGGTTCTAGGCCTCATTGAGGGTTTAGGGTTTTTCTAGAGAGCTGGTTTCAGCGGCGGCGTCCATTGGTGGCCCGTAATTGAGGAGGCCTATAGTTGCGAGGCCCATTAAGTATTGTGCCGCTTAAGAATAGTCCAACTTGTTTGTTAGATTACAACTTCATTAATTGTCTTATGGGATAAAGTTAGAGAGGTCTAACATTGTTAACTCGGAAGAGTGTGGTATAACTTTTGCCAATGGTAAAAAGATGTCACGTAAACGTCATCTAAGCTTTTACAGTTTTTATATTTTTTTACCTACGAGGTAGGGTGTGGTGATGTTTTTACCTACCAATTTTTTTTTTAATTCAAAAATCTAAATAATTACATAAACATAAAAATAAATACTAATTAAAATAACAAAAAATTTCATAAATTAAAAAAAAAAATTACATTTGATTTTACAATCATAAAACGAAAATTAAATTAACTAACTTAATAAAATCTTTCAGTCTGAATATTCACCGATATCATTGTCAATTGGTTTATTTAAATCAATTTCATTAAAGATATATATGTTCCACCAAGTCGTGCGAAGCTCGTGGTGTTTTTGATTGTCACGTATCGCCCTTCTTCTTGTACGCCATGAGATGAAATCATACGGTATTGACGCACTAGAGGATGCACTTGAGGATGCATTGTCATTTGGTTGAAACTGACAAATTATTTTGTGTTCGTCTTCCAAAATCATATTATGTAAATTTGAAAAAAAAAATGGCAGCATCAACGGTCACAAAAGCATCCCAACGTCCAATTTTCAAACTTTTATCATCGGTGGAACCTTACCACCAATACTTCACCGTCGGTGAAAATATGGAAGAGAGGCGGTGTTCACCGTCGGTAAAGCGGTCCACATCGGACTACCGGCGGTGAAAACCGCATGACACCCTTAGCCTAAAGACAATCCAAAAATTTATTAGAAAAATTTATTAGTTTTTTTTTTAAAAGTTATAAGAAGTAACTTTTAGATTTAAAGTTTTTTTGTTTAAACTAAAAATTAAATGTTTGTACTACCAAATGAAACTTTTGTTTAAATCAAATTATTTGTTTTTTTTTTTTTGAAACGGCAAATCTAACATACTTCTAAACTACTTTTTAAATCCACTTATGTCCACGACGAGACTTGAACCCTCAGCCTCAAGGAGAAGGACAACACTGGATACAGTTGAACGTTGGACTAGAATTTCTCACAATGCTCAACGCCAAAAACATTATTTTGATGTTTTTCTATCATATAATTACTAACATAATGTGGCTTATATGTTCTAGTCCAAGTCAAATTATAATGTGTTTTTTAATTTGTATTTGTATTTGTTTTGTTTGTTAATATTATTAACATTAATACTAAATTCCAAGCAATCAATAATTTCTTTAATTTTTTATGATATAATTAACGTGTCTCGTATAATCATATTAAGACAAAGATACAAAGAGTTTTTTTTTTTTTCGAAAGAGTCAAAGATACGAAAGTTAAGGGATTCTAGCGATGATTTTTGGTTATTTCCATAAAAGACCTTATATTTTGACTTTTTTTCTTTTTAGACCTAGAACTTTTTTATTTTCCGAAAAAGACTCAACTTTTACCTGTTACTTGTTATTTCAGACCCTAGCAGGTCACCAACAGGTAAATTAGGTATTTATTTTTTCATAAAAGACCCTATATTTTATAGTTTTTTCCATTTCAGACCTAAAATGTTTTTTTTTCAAAATAAACTCAACTTTAAAATTAGTTATAATCTTTAAAACCATATATATAAGGTACTTATTGACTACACAAAAAAGAAAGTATAAATGTATAAACTAAAAAATGTTATCTAATCTATTATCTTTTGAGCGAATATAACTTAGAAGAATTGCAAAATTTTATTTTTGTGTAAAAGATATAATTAAACTTTATCTTGGATATATGTTATATCACTAAACCTGATATATTGTTTATAAAAAATGTTATTATTACCGTTAATAAAAAGTTTGATGTTAATTTGATATTTTTTGGTAACATGGATAATACATGGTTAGGAAGAATCTTTTAGCATAATAACAACTTTTTTTTATTTGTAAAAAAAAAACATACCACGTAATTTAACAAACTGTATACAAAATAATTTTTTTTAGTTTGTCTATTATACTAATTTCGTGAGTTGGACATATTTCCCTCTCTCACTTTTCTATATTATTTTTTTGGTCCAATTTTTTAATCAATTTTTTTAGAACAGTTAACAAACACACTCACTATCATACTCCTAAACCAAAACTATAGAATATTTTGTAGCATTAGCCCATTATTCATGGGGGCGTTGAGGGGGGCAAAGTGGACAGCTGCACAGGACCCAATTTCTTTTATTATATATTATATATACATTTATTTAAAAATAAAAAACTTATAATAGCGATAGGGGTCATTTTTTCATGACTCGTCATGGGCATTTGAGGATATATACATCTCCAGGATCGGCCATGCCATTATTGAATAATATGTTATAATTATATTAAATACATACATAAAAATATTAATCCTAAACATTCGTAAATAGTTTTGTTTAGATATATCAGATTCAAGTTTAAGACATTCTTAAAAAATGTTAACATCACATATAAATACATAAAACTATATTATGGGAATGAAACCATTCGAGTATAAATTAATGCAAAAGTTAAATCGTTGTATGTGTAATGGTTTAAAAAAAATGTTTCATGCGTAAATCAATACGATGCCAAAAGATACAAAAGTTAA